TACATTGCATCTAGCATAGCCTCTGTTGCTTTAATCCTTCAAAAATGATGTCGCTTCCTTGCCAAATTCTCCAAATATATATATATATATATTTTATTTTTATTTTTTATTTTTTTTTAAATCAATTTCGGGCCTGGCCCATTTTATTTAAATTAAAAAAGGTTTCTAACAATGTGGATTTAACATATATATATGCATGTGAGCAGATGATAATTATAAAACTTAAAGGTTCTTGAACTCCTTCGCTCTTGTTATGCCAAAATTAAACAATTTCAACCGTGTAATTTTACTAAATTTTAGTTTGAAGTAGATTTAAGTTAGCAAATTCAAAAAGTATACTCATAACAAGATTAAAATAAAACATTAAAAGGTAAAATAATTCCTCTCTTATTAAGACAACAAAAAAAAACATTGCTAACTAATGGAAAAAATAAATACCAACAGAAAGGGGACAATTATACAATTAATCATCCTCTGATTTGATCCAAATACATGATGTTGGGCGAACCAAGTTGAAAATATTTGGACTTGAATAAGCTTTGATGCCCAAGTAATCAAAAGAGCAATATTTGTGATTGGCCAAACAATAGAAAACTCCCTTGTTGTTATGAAACATTGAAAAATATATCTTGTTTCCTAGCCCCTGTGCAACACATGTTTTCAAGCACGATCCTTCCAAGCTCACAAACAGTGTTTTATTGTCTAAACTTGTTATTTTTTTCCTCTCCAACACTTCTCCATTCATTTTGTACCTCCAAACCTCTACTTTCCCTTCGTGGTGAGATAGAAATACAGCTAACATTCCTTCGTTATCGACATCTTCTGCCATGTAAACATATTGGATTGAATTTAGTCTTCTACGTAGAAAGGATTTCCCATAAAATTTCCAACTAGGAATTGAGTTTTCATTGATGGTCAGTATTCCCAAATTTCCTTTATCTCCCAGTACATAAACAATATTATTTTTGAAAAATATTGGACTATTGCATCCCGTTAAAAAAAAACATTTATATCTATCTGCTGGATTGTTTAAGTTATGAAACTTCCAATTAGTCTCTCCAACTTTGATGATGCATACGTCTGGGGGATTACCAAGGTAATCAAAACCAACAACAAAGCAAGCAGATGACGACGAGTCTGGAGGACATGAAAATGTCCAAACGCAAATATTTTCATACTCCTCTTGTAGATCAGGAAGTTCAATTATGTCATTGCTAATAGGATTGAAAAAAAATATGTTGCGGTTGCCATGACTTATGAGTAACCAATTAGCTTTTGAACTTCGAATTCGGGAATCCATTAATTTTGGAATTGGGATAGACGTAGTCGTCATAACATTGTACACGGGATGAAAGAAATCAAGAATTCCAGTATCTCCACGCAATGTGATCAAACAAGGCGATTTTTCTGGTTGAGCAGGACAATGTGGAGGGATCACAGGTGTGTAACGCCATTTTTTACAAACGGCACGGAAAACAAAATATTCTGCGGCAACAAGACGTGATGATATTAATCCGAGTATGTCTGATGGTATACAATCCGACCACAATGCATCCTCCATTATAAAAAATTGTCGTTGAGAAAAATTATGAACACTACGTGTTATGAGATCTACCCTATTTATAAACTAGAATAAGAATTGCCAACTACTTTTCCTTAACGTATTTGAACTCATTATTATTCTTTTTTTATATGTCAGAAGTGAATTTACTTTTGGAAAAGTCAACGGAAAGAGTATATTAAATACAACTATAATTGACAATATTTTTGGTTATGGAAATCCTAATTATATTTTCTAGGAAGTAAGGAAACAATTTTCTTGTCCTACACCTATTCTAACCCCTTTTCCTTGTAGTATTTGAACTCATTTAATCATATTATTATAAGAATATTTAATTTAAAGTTGATTCTTTTAATTTAACCACACGTTATATTATTGTTTTTATAATCGGGAAAAGTAAAAATTCCCTGACATTCTTTTTTTTACAACAACACCCTTATAATTGATATTATATGAAACGTATATCTGAACTTAAAAATAAAATAATACGTGCGATTGTTACCTTTGAAATCTTATTTCAAAGGTAAGTTAACAATAGCACGTGTCACATTCTTTCTAATTAAAGAGACTAAGTCTACTCCTGATGATGAAACAAACGATGAGGATGTGTTTTGAAGAGAAAATTTTATGTATTAACAAGGTAAACATGCATATAGGTATTCTAATGGGTTTGGATCCAGATAATATTTTAATTTGTCATTATACACTGTTACAATAAAATTAATTTCTAGTTTGATAAATTGATACAATTAAAACTAACATAAACTACTTGTACGTTAGTACTTAATACTTATATAATTTCGAATTGCTGCGGTAATTTTCATAATTATATCCACTATATAAATATAAAAAAGAAATACTTCTCTGTCAAATAATATACCATTTCTTTTTTAATCAAAAGGTCCACCATGATGGTGAGGCTAGCTGGCTTAGGTTCACGTGAACACATGTTCCCCTCTTTAGATTATATATAGTAGTGTTATATTTTTTTTAAAAAGATATTTAAATATAGAGGTCTGAACCCAGTACTCTCTTCATTTCAAATTAATTAAATTGTTTGAGACATTTTTTATTTTTCAAATTAACTTAATTGTTCAATTTTCAAGACTACTTTTAGAATGTTCTTCTAATTTAACCCTTTATTAGTTAGTATTGAAATTAATTATGACTCTGGAACATTATGTCTTAATCATTCATAATGTCTTATTACTGTTGAATACTTTATTTTCCTTGTCATTTGGAAAAGCTAGCGCTACCCAATTGTGACATCTCCTCTTGGTCCTGATGTCATAAACTCATAATTAATTTCAATACTATGGAAATAATCAGTGCATGTGGAAATAATCATAGAAAGTTAACCTGATGCAAATCAACGAAAACCATATCAAATAGCACTAAACATTTATTGTATACAAACAAAAGGCTAATTAAACATTTACTAATTTAATGTTAACCAGTGCATGTGGTGATCCTTTGTCTTGCTAACATGTGGGCAAGGGAGGGATAATGATATCCTATGTGTTATCCAGTTGTAGATATTATCCAGTTGTAGATGTAGAGATGACGACCGTAGGTGAAGTAGATGCACTCTTTGTTAAGATTTGTGTCTTTTGTCGAACAAGCTGTGCCCGTCTTCAGAGGGAAACTTATAAAAATTGCTATTTCTCCAATGCTTTCCGCTTTTATCCATCTTCCTCTTATAAAATCAAATTGAAATACTTGAAAGTGGTATGGCATTTCAAACTCTCTTCCGTTACCAATCAAGTGAACATATAACAACATATTGTTAGAAGAGGACTGAATGAGGTAATCCTTATAAAAAGCATGATATGATTTCGACAGATCTGGAGATCCGTCAGCCATTGGTGTAGCTGTTATTCTTCCTGAATCATTATCTATATCCAAACAAGTTAGAATATTTTGCATCCCGATTAATATATAAAAAAATTTCTTGAAAACTGTCCAGATCCCAAGACGTGAATCTCCGATAATTGATTGGACATTTTGTTTATGAAATTCTTCATTATAACCTGGTTTGCAGAAGTAAAAAGTAAGCAAATCCTCATCGTCATCATCGTTTTCATCCTCATTAATAGAGTCTGCATCCCCATCCTCATCAGAGTTCTCATCCCCATCCGAGTTCTCATCAGAGTTGTCATGCTCATCAGAGTTCTCATGCTCATCCTCATCCAGAGTAGTCTCAGTCTCTTTAATTTGGAAGATAACTTGACATTCGGAATCATGAGGTGGTGCAGACAAGAGGTAGCTCAATATGTCGCACTTAGCAGGAAATGGCGGGAGCTGAATTTTTTCGTTTGAAATAAGATTCCAAAGGTAGCAATCATTAGAATTAATGCTTTGTAACACGAGCCACTCATCCGCATAAGCAGATAATGTTTTTTCTTTAAGTTCAGGTATACTTTTCATATAATATCGATTCTCCGATACACTGAAAAAAGTTTGCTTATGCATAACATCACCATGACAAATAAGAAGCCAAGGGTGTTGGGCAGAATAAGGAGGTTGAGCATTGTTGTTTTCTTCCAACTCCATCTTTCGGCTGAAAAAACAGAATCTGCAGAGATCAAAAAGGCTCCTAAAAAAGCTCTGTTTGGTTTTGCAGCTTTTGAGTACTGTGTGGTTAGAAGAATGAACATTAAATAATGACTAATGAGTCCAAATACTATCAGAAAAGGAAATTTCTTTTCCTTTAGTAAATATAATTGGGATTTCCATAAATAAAAACATTGCCGATAATAGTACTTTTCAAATTAATCTTTCAACTTAGCACTGTTCCAAAATTATATTTTTTCGAGTTTAATCACTCCATATACACATTTAAGAGTCAATATTACAGGTTTTAAATCTACTTTTAAAAAATTCTTGTTTATAACAGTTTAATTACGGGTTATAACATATCACTAATTATTTATAAATTAATTAAATTTTACTTTATTAAATAAGTAATTTTTTATAATTTTATATTATTATTAAATTATTTAAATAAAGAATACCTCATAATTATCTCTTACACAATTATAGGGATTTTACATTGATTACACTTCCTTATTTAATGTTTTACATATATTTATGGATTTTACATTGATTACACTTCCTTATTTAATGTTATACTCATAACCTCCCATTAGTCAATCCCACCACCCTTCCCCCACACCTATCCAACTATACACGCTATCACCCCACTTTCACCTTCTTCTCTCCCATTTTTCTCACCAGCCAACTACACCAACATTCAATCTTTCGTCTAATTTTTTTTCCCAACAAAATTATGTCTAAAAAACCCATTGACATGCC